CCAGAGGGTATCTTAGCGATTAAGTATAACAAGCAGCTGGCAGGCAGAGGCAGTTCTTGCAGTATGTTGAGCTTTTTGCTGACCTGCCCCCAGGCTCAGTGCTGGTGGAAGACGGCCTTGGTTAGCCATCTTTCTATTTACACTCAGGCCCAATAGGGGCAGCCACAAACTGTGGATCACTTTGTATCTCCAAAAAGATAGTCCAGGGTCAGTCACAGGAAGCATCTGACATTGAAATGCACTGGAGTCCCTCTGAAGAGGCCCCAGAACCAACATAACCAGTGACAGGCTTCAGACAACTTCAGAGCACAACTGAAATATCCCGTAAAGCAGCACATTCAAATGAAGATCTTGCAAGGCACCAGACCATGCTGGGGCAAATTCCACTTTGTGTGGTCAGCACACACACACTGGTTCATACACTGTGGTCCAGATTGATCCTTACAGTCAGCCAGCCTAAGGGTTAACCTCACACACAGATGGGCCAAAGGCAATCAAGACTCAACTACAACAGAAGGGCTCACATAACCCATACAGAAGACATTCCTGGAACACCTTGCTCAGGGGATCAGGGAGACTGCACTACTAAGTGTCAAGCAATGCCTACCACATAAGGCCACCATACCAAGATTGGGAGACACAGCAGATTTACTTAATACATAGAAACAAATACAAAAAGAAAGCCAAACTGGGGCAGGAAGGAGGGTGAGAGAGGGGAAGAAATATGCCCCAAAAAAAGAATAAAAAAAATCCCCAGAAAAAGAATTAAATGAAATGAACGCAAGCAATCTACCAGATACAGAGTTCAAAACAATGGTTATAAAAATGCTCAAGGAACGTAGGGGAATAATGGATGAACAAAGAGTTCGTAAACATAAAAAATACATAGAAACCATGGTTAAAGAACCATTAAGACATAAAGAATAGAATATTTGAAATGAAAAATAGACTAGAAGAAATGAATAGAAGGTTAGATAAAGTAGAAAATGGAATCAGTAATTTGGAAGACCAGGTAGCAGAAAACACACAATTGGAGCAAAAAGAAAAAAAAAGAATTTTAAAAATGAGAACAGTTTAAGGGACTTTTGAGACAATGTGAATCTTAATATCTGTATCATAGGGGTACCAGAAGGAGAGAGAGCAAGAAATTGAGAACCCATTTGAAGAAACAATGAATGAAAACTTTCCTAACATGGTGAAGAAAAAGACAGACAAGTCCAGGAATCACAGAGATCCCCAAACCAGATGAACCCAGAGGCCCACACCAAGGCCCATCATAATTAAAATGCCAAAGGTTAAAGAGAAAGAATCAATCTTAAAAGCAGCAAAGGAAAGATAGTTATCTGCAAGCAAGCTTCCAGATAACTGATTAAGACTGTCAGCTGATTTCTCAACAGAAACATTTCAGGACAGAAGGGATTGGTATGAAATATTCAGAGTGATAAAAAGGAAATATCTAGAACCAAGACTACTCTACACAGTAAGGCTTGCATTTAAAATTGCAGGACATATAAAGAGCCTCCCAGACAAGTAAAAGCTAAAGGAGTTCATCACCACCAAACTAGTATTAGAAGAAATGTTAATGGGACATCTTTAAGAATCAGAAAAAAGAGTAACATCATTATAAAGAACAAAATAGTAATAAATATATAACCATCAATAATCACTTAAATGTAAATGGATTAAATGCTCCAATCAAAAGACATAGATGACTCAGAACAAAAGACACACACAGACTGAAAGTAGAGAGATGGAAAAGGTATTTCATGCAATTGGAAATGAAAAAGAAACTGGGTAGCAATACCTACATCAGAAAAAAAAATAGACTTTAAGACAAGGACTATAATAAGAGACAAAGGACACTGCATAATGACAAAGGGAGCAATCCAGCAAGAGAATATAACCCTTGTAAACATTTATGCACCCAACATAGGAGCACCTAAATATGTCAAGCAAATCTTGATGAACAGAAAGGAAAAGATAAACAGTGATACAGTCATAGGAGATTTAAACACCCAATTCACATCAATTTATAGCGCTATTTCTAGATTTTCCAGAAAGAAAATCAACAAGGAAGCATTGACGTTAAATAACACACAAGACAGACAGGTTTATTTAACACTTTCAGAGCATTTTACCACAAATCAACAGAGTATACATTCTACCCACATGTACATAGAACATATTCTTGAATAGACCACATGTTAGGACACAAAACAAGTCTAAGTGAATATAAAAGATTGAAATATCAAGCATCTTCTCTGACCACAATGGTATGAAATTAGAAATCAATTACAAGAAAAAAAATGAAAAGCACACGGAGGCTAAATTACATGTTACTAAATAATGAATGGATTAATAATGACATCAAGAAAAAAATCAACAGATACCTTAAGAAAAATGAAAATGGAAATAGAACAACACAAATCTCTGGGACACAGAAAAGCAGTCGTAAGAGGGAAATTCATAGCAAAATGCGCCTACTTCAAAAACCAGGAAAAATCTCAAAAAAAAAAAAAAATCTAACCTTAACATTAAAGGAACTAGAAAAATAATAACAAAGCCCAAAGTGAGTAGCAGAAAAAATAATAAAGATCAGAGTGAAAAAAAATTCTATAAATTCTTTAAAAAGGCAATAAAAAAGATCAATGATACCAAGAGCTGATTCCTTGAAAAGATAAACAATATTGGCAAACCTTTAACCACACTCATCAAGAAAACAGAGAGGACCCAAACAAATAGAATCAGAAATGAAAGAGGAGAGGTAGCCATAGAAATATAAAAGATTATTATATATATACTAGAGGCCTGTTGCATGAAAAGATTCTTGCAATAGGCCTTCCCTTCCCCTGGCTGCCAGCACAGGTTTTCCTCCGGCACCCAGGACCCAGGCCTTTGCTCTGGCCAGAGCCTTCAGTCTTCACGGCTCCAGACGGAGTCTTCAGTCTTCGGTCTGCCGCTTCACCCCTATGTATGCAAATTAACTGCCATCTTTGTTGTGTAAATTTGCATACTCTCCTGATTGGCTGGTGAGCATAGCTGAGGGATAGTTAATTTACATGTTTGTCTATTATTAGGTAAGATTGCTAACAACTATATGCCAACAAACTGGGCAAACTAGAAAAAATGGATGAATTCCTAGAAACATACAATCTTCCAAAACTGAATCAAGAAGAAACAGAAAAGCTGAACAAACCAATTACAATGAATGAAATAGAAGAAGTAATAAAAAAAAAACTTCCAAAAAACAAAAATCCTGGACTGGGTGGCATCATGGTGAATTTTACCAAACATTCAAAGAAGAAATAACACTTACTCTTCTCAAACTATTCCAAGAAATTTAAAAGAAAAGAAGACTCCCGAGCTCATTTTCTGAGCCAGCATTTTCCTAATTCCAAAACCAGATAAAGACACTACAAGAAAAAAAATTATAGGCCAATATCCCTGATGAACATAGATGCAAAAATCTTCAAAAAATATTAGCAGTCTGAAACCAGCAATACATTAAGAACATCATATATCATTATCAAGTGAAATTTATTCTGGGGATGCAAGGTTGGTGCAATATCTGTGTCACTTAATGTGATACACTACATAAACAAAAGAGGAATAAGAATTATATGATTATATCAATAGATGCAGAAAAGCATTTTAAAATTTCCAGCAATTATTTGTGATAAAAACTCTCAACAATGTGGAAATAAATAGATGGAACACAATTCAACATAATAAAGGCCATATATGACAAACCCACAACCAATATCCTACTCAATGGGGGAAAACTAAAGCATTTTGCTTAAGATCAGAAACAAGATGGAGATGTCAACTTTCACCACTCTTACTCAACAAAGTACTGGATTTCCTAGCCACAGCAATTAGACAAGAATAAGAAATAAAAGGCATCCAAATTGGAAATGAAGAAGTAAAGTTGTCATTATTTGCAAATGACATGATACTGTATATAGAGAATCCTAAATATTCAATCAAAAAACTAATAAAACTGATAAATGAATTCAGCAAAGTAGCAAGGCACAAATTAAATATTCAGATATCAATTGCATTTTATATGTCAACTAGAGGCCCAGTGCATGAAATGAAAGAGGAGAGGTAACACTGGTAGGGTCCCTAGTGGCTGGAGGCAGCTGCCGGCTGGGTATTCCCTTTCATCCCCCAGTCAGCCCCACCCCCTGGTCAAACTCCCAGAAGAACTCCTGGTGGAGGCGGCAATTTGCATACTACACTTTTATTATATAGGATAGTGAACTATCAGAAAGGGAAACTAAGAAAACAATCCCATTTATTATTGCATCCAAAAATAAAATACCTAGGAATAAATATAACCAAGGAGGTAAAAATAATATGAAGCATATACTGTGTTCATCAAGACGAAGAATTGACACTGTTAAAATGTCCATACTACCTGAAGCAATCTGTAGATTTAATGCAGCTCCTATCAACAGACCAATGGTGTATTTCCATAGAACTAGAAAAAATAATATGGAACCACTAATGCTTTCAAATAGCCACAGCCATATTGAGAAAGAACAACAAACTTGGAGGAATCACACTACTTGATGTCAAACTATTATATAAGCCTATAGTACTCATCACACATGGTACTGGAATAAAACAGACATAGAGATCAATGGAATAGAAAGCCCCAAATGATTTAGTTTGCCTTTATGGCCAATTAATGTTTCACAAAAAGGGCAAGAACATACAATAGGGTAAAGACAGTCTATTCAATCAATGTTGTTTGGAATACAGGACTTACACATGCAAAAAAGAAAGTAAGAAGGAAGGAGAAAGAAAAAAGAAAGAAAGAAAGAAATAAAAAAAGAAAGAAAGAAAGAAAGAAAGAAAGAAAGAAAGAAAGAAAGAAAGAAAGAAAGAAAGAAAGAAAGGAAGGAAGGAAGGAAGGAAGGAAGGAAGGAAGGAAGGAAGGAAGGAAGGAAGGAAGGAAGAAAAAAAGAAAGAAGGAAAGAAAAGAAGGAAGGAACTAGATCACCCTCTTTCACTACATACAAGAATAAACTCAAAATGGTTAAGGACATAAATGTAAGACTTAAAAGCATAAAACTTTTAGAAGAAAACATAGGCAGTAAAATCTCAGACTTTAGAATATTTTTTTTCTGGTATATCTTCTAGCACAAGGGAAACAAAAGAAGAAATAAATAAATGGGACGATATCAAACTAAAAAGTTTTTGCATAGCAAATGAAATCAACAAAACAAAAAGACAACCCATCGAATTGGAGAAGATGGCCAATGATACATCTAGTAAGTGGTTAATAAACAACATTTATAAAGAACTCATACAACTCAACAAACACACACACACACACACACACACACACACACCCCACAAAAACAAAACAAAACATTTAAAAAAGTGGGCAGAGGACCTGAATAGACATTTCTCCAAAGAGGACATACAAATTGCCAATAGACATATGAAAATATGCTCAATATTAGTAATCATCAGAGACATGCCATTTAAAACCACAATGAGATATCAACTCACACCTGTCAGAATGCCTACTATCAATAAATCAATGAACAACAACTAGTGAGGATGTGGAGAAAAAGGAATGCTAGTTCACTGATGGTGAGAATGCAGACTGGTGCAGCCACCTTGGAAAACAGTATGCAATTTCCTCAACAATTTAAAAATGAAACTGCCTTGCCCTGACCAAGTGGCTTAGGTGTTGGGAGCATCATTCCATACACCAAAAGGTTGTGAGTTTGATTCTGGTTGGGGCACATACCTAGGTTGTGAGTTCAATTGCCAGTCAGGGAGCATATGGGAAGCAACTGAACAATGATTCTCTCTGTCTCCCCCTTCCTCTCTCTCTAAAAATCAATAAAAACATATCTGCAGGTAAGGATTATATATATATTCTACATAATAAAGAGGTAATATGCAAGTTGTCTATGACTCCCTCACACAAGATGGCTGCCCCCATGTGGTCAAAGATGGCCATCACAGGATGGCTGGCAGGGGAGGGCAGTTGCGGGGGACCAGGCCTTCAAGGGAGGGCAATTGGGGGCGATGGGGCCAGCAGGGGAGCAGTTAAGTGTAAATCAGGCTGGTAGGCAGAAGCAGTTAGGGGCAATCAGGCAGGCAGGCAGGCAGGCAGACAGGTGAGCGGTTGGGAGCCAGCAGTCCCAGATTGTCAGAAGGATGTCCCCCGAGGGGTCTCAGATTGGAGAGGGTGCAGGTTGGGCTGAGGGACACACCACCAGTGCACGAATTTTGTGCACCAGGCCTCTAAAATATATATATTGGAGGCCCAGTGCACAATATTTGTGCACTGGTGGGGGGTCCCTTGGCCTGGCCTACAGGGATCAGCCAAAACCAGCAGTCCTACATCCCCGGAGGGATGTAGTAGTGCCAAAGTGACAGGCTGCCAGGGATGAACCCAAGCCTGGGCCGAGCACCGTGCTGCGCTGCTCCTGCTCATCCTGGCCCCTCTGCACCTGCCACCGCCAACACTCAGCAGGCTCGCTGCCGCTTCGCTGCAGTCTCCACGCCCATCCTAGGGAAATATGGCGCACCTATGACCAAGAAGTGGCCACAGGCTCACGCCCAGTCAGTCCCGATGCCGGTCCTGGTTTGGATGGGGGAGGGGCACGCAGGGGGAGTGTCCACAGGAGAGGCTTGCGCCACCGAAGCTGTGCTCACTGGCCATGAGCAGGAGTCTGGCACCTGTTGGTCAGCTGAGCGGCGCTCCCACTGGGGGAGCACACTGACCACCAGGGGGCAGCTCCTGCATTGAGTGTCTGCCCCCTGGTGGTCAGTGCACATCATAGCTACCAGACTACCGGTTGAATGGTCAACCGGTCTCTTAGCTTCTCTCTCTATATATATATATTTGCCTTATAACCC